TACCTGTTTAACGTTGAATATTATTTATGATTCTAACTTTATAACATAAGTGCCAAAATACTATAATAACAACGGTATTTGGTAGAATTCGTGAAAAAATGACGAAATGATTCTTCGGTATACTTCTAGAATAGGAGAACGAACAAAAGTTTGAGGCTCAAAAATGAATTAAATGTAGAAATTAAAACACATTGTGTATTTATCAGTTTCTTTTTTTCTGAGCGGTAAAACCTTTCACAGTCCATTTTGAGGTTTAAAAAGACACAGTGGAAGAGGTACAATCTCATTCAATATCAAATACACTTACTTGAATTGTTCTATAGAAATTATTTATAATTCTTGTGAGATTGAATTATAAAAATCGGTAATTCTGGTTTATTCCTATCATATACGAGTAAAGATAAAGGTAATGTGATGAAAAGTTCTGTGTTTATTCCCATGAACAGGTTGAAAATTATTACCTTAAATCTGATTTTTTACTGTTAAACAGATCATATTAAAAACCCCGAAGAAAATCTGTTTTTACCCCTTTGTTTAACTATTACTGAAATTGTGACCACTCCAGTACTTGTGTTACCTACCCCAAGTTAACAAGACGACACACGAATTTAACTCACTATTATCTGGAACGTTCGGGGCTGCTGCACAGCGCATGGCGAACGCACAGCAACAGCTGCTATTTACAAAGAAGCTAAACAGAGGGGTATTCAGTGTACAGGAGACGGTGCACGTGCTGGCAGGAGGTTGACAGGGCGTGCGGCCGCTGGCTGAGGATCGGGTTTCCTCCACTAGGACCTAGGGGGTCGCCGATATTTTGCAGGTGACGGACGACAGTAATTGGTAGCTAACTCAGAAACACAGCAGTTGCCGTTTTTGGCTTGGCGGCGGAACTAAATACGGCAGCACGCGGTCCCCTGCATTTGCTGGAACACCACACAGGGGCATGTCCGGCACGCACTCCTGCACGCAAGACGGTCGCCAACTCCACCCCGCCATTGTGACCCTCATGACTCAGTCAGGCAAGAACGTTAATTTCTTTTCCGTGTCTTGTGCCAAACCAAGAGCCCGCGCATTTCCTACACATCCCCCGCTGTCTGGTTCATCGGAAGCGTTTCTGGTCTACGTGTTGTCAACTTTTCCACGCTGAGTCTTCTGCCCAGGTTTGGTTTTCGTTAGCTAACACGTGCAAAACACTGACGTCAGAGTGCTGGCTTCTTCATTAGAACTACAGAGCTCAAGTTTATAGATTCTAACTTTTTCTTTTTTTTTCGCCTCGAAACACATGCGTGCTTCTCACGTGAAGCGAAGGGGGACTATAGAACTATTATCACAGTTTAAGAGAACCAAGAACGGTTGATTTTGAAACTTATGCTGACAATGCACCTAATCCTAACTGTTAATTAAGTCTAGGTAAAATAACGTGACTTTTATTTTAATACAGCGGTATTTTAACTTTACTTAGTCTCTCAAGCTGTATACGAATGCCGTTGATCAACAAACAGGTGATGTCTGCTTCAAATATTCTATATTTGTTTATCGAATTTCGTGCAAAACTACACGAGGGCTATATGCACAAACCGTCAAGAATTTTGATGAGATAGAATAGAGGGAAGGCAGCTAATCAAATCCACCCACTGCGAACTCTTGGGCTTCTCTTTTGCCAAAGAACAGTGGGATTGACCATTACTTTATAACGCCCCACGACTTGTAACGGGAGAGTATCTTCGGTGACGGGATTCGATACCGCGACCTACAAATTGCGAGTCGAGCTTCAAATATACAGGACTTATTATCCTTAATATCTCTTATTATCCAAAGGATTACTAGAAATATTAGCCGTTTTGTTAAACGCGTAGCCGAAACTTTCATTATTCTATAAGACGCAGATTAATTGATAGCCATGCGATAGTTTATTAGTAACAAGAAATATACAGTTAACCGCATAGGCGACACAGATATCTCAATTAAAGAATGGGTTAAACAATCGCCAATTTTTAAACATTTTTTATATTTAGTTAAATAATAATATAAAAATGAACAGAAGACATAAAAAGAGTAGGGACTCATTGACAAAAATGAACACATTTTAAGCACTGTAATGTAAGACTGATTTAATGTGGGGAGGGAACTGTGGGTTGCCTCCAGTACCCATAGGTCAGAAAGGCATGACAAGCAAACAGATCCTTTTTTACTCCCATTGAATGAATCTTATAAACACTTAAAATATAAAACTAAACAATGAATTATTGCGTATTAACAACATATATTTATTATTATAATTGTAAAGACTTGTGTGTCACTCATCTTAAAGTTGAAATCCCCCCACCTCGCAGCAGGCAACGTGAAGATTCAGGCGTGTCTTTTAGTAGTCGTGGAAACTTTTTTTATACTGAGAAAAAGGGCACTTTTGAGGTATAACAGGAGGAAGACAGGGGCTTGAGTCCGCCCAACCACT